GTAGGGAAATATGTCAAGCCAGGACTTACCATCTGTGAACTCTGCTCTATTGAGCTGATCTTGAAACTTCCACTGGTTTCTTTTTTTCTTTTTTTTCTTTAATGGAGGTGAAATCTTTTGTTATAGCACTGCAATTTCTGACCTGAGTAGCAGCGGGAGTCTGTATGTTAGATGACTTTCTTTATGTTACTTTGCTGTTCTGGGCCAATTAAATGCAGCATTCTCCACCTGGACATGAGCGCAGGAAATGTACCTGTGAAATGAAAAGACCTTTTATTACCTAATTGCTGAGCTAGAGGGTATGCAGCGGGTTGAACTTCCCTAAAAGCATTTATACCCCATTTCCCATCTTGGCTTTGGAAATACTGCCTTGGTGTCGGCGGCTTTGGGTCTGAAGGTGGATTTTGCAGTGCTCTACTTTGGCTGCATACTCTCAAGACTGTCTCAGCATGGTTGCATCTGCTTTCTGTCGTTGTATTTGGTAGTGTTTGAGAACAAGTCTCGCTGAGTCAGAGAGATTTAAACTTGGATGCTCTCAGGTGATTTTTTTTGGGAACTCCCGCTCCATCCCTGTGCAGATACCAAGTGCAGGTTAGCTTGAGGCAGGATCCTTGCAGCACGGCAACCGATCAGTGAGATGTTGGTGTCTGGCTGCTGCCTCTGTGTCTTCAAGAACACAGGAATGCGAGTCAAAGCAAATACTCCTACTCTGTTACTTGTTCATCGCACAGAGCATCTGAGGTTGCTAACCATTATATTCCACAGCAGGGCTAATATCTTGTAAACAAGAAGCACATAAAGTCTTAATTAGGATGACCTGCATAGTTAATTGCAGTTACAATGTTTTTTCCTAGTATGTTCTGTATAATTGGAATGAAAAGAAATAACATTTAAGGAGGAAAAACCCAGAGGATAATGTCAGCCTAACTTGGGATGGGGTGAGGAGAGAGGAGGAGGAGGATTCCCGCAAACCTCGTGCTTTCTTAGAGCAGGGAAGAATGTGAACGACTTAACTACATTTTTAGTAAGAACAGACGCATCTGAGTCTTGGGTGGGTCAGTTGTGAGAAAGAGTCGGGAGTCATAGGTGCTACTGAGAAGGGAAATGGAGGAAATCCGAATTTCTTCGGGATCTTTAGTTTAAAGTCTGGAGGAGTTCAGTGAAGGGAATGTCTGAACCTGTAGCAACCTTCCCTCTAATCCTGGGAGCTAGGAAAGAAACCTGGTGGCAGAAGAAGCTGGCGCCTGCATTTGTATTAAAGATCAGAGGAAAGAACTGGAAAACTAACTGGAAAATATTAAAATGTGCTGAAATGTTTTGCCCATATAAAGGAGTGTGTTTATAAAGACTTGAAAGAAAGCTCTCCATATTAAACAGCATTAATGCATTAGAATTGTGTTTGCGAAACTAGTACTATTTATCTCATTATTTTGTAAGCAGTCCAAACCAGTTAACTGTATCGTTCCCTTTCTGGCTCTGAGGCAGCTCTCCTGGTTTAGAATGGAGTCCTTCACACCAGTATAGCTGAAGTTAAATATATTGTCACCTGCATGTAGTAGTATTAAATTTTATGCAAATATAACTCAGACCGAAAAAAAATAATCTCTTTTTTCCCCTTCAGCTCAATGTGATTATCAGATCGTCGTTGCAGAATCTCAGAGAGAAGATCGATCAGCTGAAGGACTTACTGCTTCGGGCTGTATCAACACACCAAATGTATCTGTGTAAACATCAACTCACTGACCTTTCTGTATTGTGGGAGAGGGTGGAAAAATATGCTATAATTGCTCTGCCATGCAGTTAGGGTTTTTCCCTCATTCCATTTTTAGACAACTTTGTCACTAGGACTTTGTTCGTGCTGCTGTTGAATATTTTCATTGCAGCTGTACGGCAGGAAGAGTTGGGAGCCTGGGCATCTCTGGTATGGTGGGCATGAGGCTGGCTTTGGTTACGTTTGTGTCAGAGAGAAGCTTAACAAGATGGTCTGAATAATCTCAGAGCTGCCATCGTCCTGCCTGTGCACTGTGCCGACACTGCTGATTGAGTGGCTGGTTTGTGAGCTAAGATCACTCATCTATCAGAAAATTCGCTAATCTGTTATTTTCTCATGGCTCGGTCGCTGGCTGCAAGAGTGCCAGTGCTTGCAAAAAGGAAGGATGAAGCCTTGTTCAGGGTGTGGGCAGGGATGTGGCAGCCCTGACTTGGACTGACTTAAGGAGCAATGGAACTGCATCTTCAGAATGATGTCAAAATGCTTTCAAATATGCCTTAGGAAGAAATCACAGGTTTTCTTCTAGGAGCGTCACCCTGTGGCCTGGCTTGGATTTGCTGCTCTTTCTATACGCTGGGATAGTCGGGCTTAAGGAGTCAAAGTAGTACGTCCGTCTCCCTGAAGATATCCAGCAGCAATCTGATTTAATGACTGAATGTTTAATTTCAGGCTTACTATAGCAGAAATCCCTTCTAAGCACGGGCCCCCTGAGTGCTGTGCTGATGGCCAGGGGTAAAACTTTCCTGTCCAGTGAGTGCTTGAGAGCAGACGAATACTACTGCTGTGGCAGAAAGCATACACAAATCAGTTCAGCTGTTGCATAATCTACTGAACAGTACTTGGATGAGAGTTAGTAGTCCTTCAAAACGTCACTGAGATTAATTAAAAAAAAAAGCAAACACACATCCCCTGTTGAAGCTGCAGCAATTCAGGGCATCTTGTCTTTCAGAGGTGCTGCATCAGTGGCTATTGGGGTGTTCTGCTGATGAATTGCAAATGGAAGCAGATGCTCAAAGTAAATTTTTGGTTGTTGCTGATCACTTGGCTGGGAGCTACTCACCTGGTCTGTGGTATGAGCCTCCAGTGAAATAAAATGTGAAGTACCCTGCTGATTTTAAAAGCTCTATTCTTTTTGGGCCTGCCCCGTTTATACCATAACAGTGTCAGTGTCTTACAAGAAGACTCATTCTTCCCTGCGCTTAACCTGTGCAGTACTGTTATACATGGTCAATGTTATAGAAGAGATCAATTGCGTAGGACTTCTTAGTAATAAATGAAAGAAGAATTATGTTGGATTTTGGAGGGGGAAATGCTACTCTTAATACTTATGCTAATTTGGCAGTAAATGGCCTTCCAGTTCTCTTATTACTTTGAGATGATGACCTGAAGATCATGCTGTGGTCACTGTATGAAACTTTCTTTGAGATATGTAAACTTAAAAACACATTTAAAATAACAGCAGATTTAATTGAGAAACACGTGACCTATCCTTTTCTTAGATATTACAGCTTTGCGTGAGGTTAAAATAGTTACTCTAGTTCATTTTGATGACCAGAAGGTCTGATTTATTTTAAGAATGCATAACAGGTATTATTTTGTATAATAAAATTGAAGTTTTTCAGTGTTTTTAAGTTTGGTCCTTAACCAAGTATCATCAGCACACAGCTGGAGGGAGACAGGAGGCAGAATTTGGTGGATGACCTTCTCACACGACAGAAACAACTTCAGGCATCTTACAAGAATGAAGGCACGGAACCAGATGTGATAAGGTACGGCATTGTCACCTCAAATGAACAATGTGATTTGTGCTTTGCGTGTGTCTGAAGATAATGTTAAATGCGTCCGTTGAACCCATTTACCTCTACATGTAGCAAACTGCAGTTTCATTTGTTTAGAAATCGTGGTTTTTTTAGTGACAGTATCGCATATGTCTACAAAGCTGGGGAGGATGAGGGACTGGAGAGTTGCTTGGAAGAGGTAGTACTGACTCAGTGATCTAGCAGAGTCAGTCACTGAGTTGGACTGATGGGTGCCACTGTACAAGGTCTACGTGAATTGTTGGAAAGAAAGCTGCATCAGGACGTCAGGATGAAGCTTAAGCTTCAAATGGTCCCCAGTAATCATACTGTGCAGCAGTCAGTGGAGGCCTTCAAATTTTAATTTGCATTTTGGTATGTCCTTCACAGGTGGGAAAAATAATTACGGTTAATAGCCTGCAAGTCATGCTCTCCTTATGCAGTTCTTATGTAGCTCCTTTCTAGTGGAAGGAGTTGTATTTCTCATCTCTGACAGGTTCTTAAAAATAATCCATCCCTGGTGGTCTCTGTCTGATGAAGAAGAAAGGCAGAGCCTTTTCTTGAAGTGTGAAATTCAGGCCTCTGAATTATTAGCAATGCGTAAGTTGGTTTGGTGGGTCACACAGGTGCTGTGTCCGTAACATACAAACCATGCTAGGCATAGACTTGGCATATAATTATATAAAAATACATCTTTTACTGCAGATGTTGCAGTTCTGCAAACTCAAATGTGCAGTGGAATAAGGAAGGATGGGTTGTTTCTAGTGCTTTGTTAATGGCCTTTTAAATTTTATCTGTTTCCAGTTAGGTCAGCACCAGCTTTTGCCTATGGAATTCCAATCGCGAGTATTTGCTCCCCTTGGCTGTACTTCAGAGTTTTTGGTAGCTTCAATTTCTGCATGAGCATGCATGTGTCTTGCTGAGGAGCTCCTTGCAGCTACTTTACATCCAGGAGCTTTTACATCTCATTAAAATACCGAGTTAAAAATGCTTGCTGAGCAGCAGAATTGAGAGATTCCTGTGAATTTTTTACACTTCTCTTTCCTTTCCCAATTCAAATAGCATAACTCACCCTCCCTTTTCTCCTTGTTTCTCCTCTTTCCCCCTGTGTTTTCAGTGACATCCCCATTTTCTCCTTGTTTCTCCTCTTTCCCCCTGAGTTTTCAGTGACATCCCTGCTGGTTGAGAGAGAATATCCTGGGTTCAGCCTGGGGCTCTACATGTGCTACAGATGGTCTAAAGGCTCTGCTAATGAGGCTCTGTCTCTTCTGCCTCATCATCTGTGTTGTAAAAGTTGATTTTTCTTTGAGACTCCTTTTTCTTTCAATGTGTTTAAACTGCCCAATGAATTAATTGCTGGAGGAGAGAGAGGAGAAAAGGGGTAGCAATAAATAAGCCTTGTTCCTAAGCTGGTAGCCAGGCTACAGACAACAAAATGAAGCTGCCATTTTCTCCTTTCTTTGCAAGCAAATGGGTAGTAGATCTGCCACCTTAGCGTAGGATTAGGGCCATGGTACGTCAGAATTGAAGAGGCATGTGTTGAGGGACAGCTTCAGAAGCATCCTCATGACTCAGTGGGTGATACGCTTTGATCTCTGTTAGCCCTGAGCCAACAGTCATGCAAAAAATGAAAAGCCCTGCTATCAAAGAGCATGACTTACCTGTCTCCTGACCCCGTGCAGGTCACTAAATACTACTCTGTGTTAGAGTTACCATTTTGGCTAAATTCCAGCACAGGTAATTGCATTTGCTCTTCCTAATTTTTCCTTTGCAAATTCAGGTAATCTTCTGCCCTGCGAAATGGTGCAGAAGAGAAACGGGGTTGCAGTCCCTGAGTTTGCAGAGCTTGCTATATTTCCATGGTCAATGAAATTACTCTCGAGTGTAGACTGTAATTGGTAAAACCTCATATTTTTAAAAAAGTAAATGTACTTTCTCGGAAGTTTTGTATGAATCACAGCCGTTGGGCCGAGGCACCTATTTTGTTGGTGTGTGGGAAGCTTTAATGCAGCAGGCACAGACTTCTCAGGCTGGCGGTGGGTCACGCAAGGGGCTGTGCTCTGCCCTGTAAGCCCTGCACAATGCTGCATGTGTGATCTGGGTCGTACAATGTGGCTGAGCAGAGCTTCCTCACCTCTGCTCACCCGTGGTGTAGTGAGATCTGCCTCTGAAGAGTGCAACTGTGCTTCTCAAATATGGACATGCGATAGAAATACGTATTTTTAAAAAAATTTTTAGCTTGTGCTTCTAAGTGGCAGGCATTTTCTAATGCAATATATTCACTGGACCTTTTCTGTAGCAAATACACAGCTTTGCATTTTATACATGCGCACGTAAGGTTAGTTGTGCGAGGGAGAGCGTTAGAGCCCTCCTGAGGAAGTTTCTCACCTTTTTGCAATATGTCGGCCCTCGGTCTTAGGACAGAACAAAACTTCATACACTTTTAACTCCTCACACTTTTGAAGAAATATATAAGCCTCTTTGCTGATGTTCTTTGAGAACCAGTCCCTTTTCAGCACTGTGCTCTTTGAAAAGGCAAAGACAGTTTTGAAGCTATTGTATAGTAAAAAATTGGATAGCAATGTGAGCGTTGTTTCCTATCATGACTATTGAAAATAAGATTTTTTTTTTTCTTTTTTTTTCCCCCCTCCTAGCTTGTTTACTTTGTGTCTTGGAGCAGGTATGAGAGAGACTCAACGTTTAACTGATAGTTTTCTGTATTCATGCGTGTATTCATGTTTTGTGAGGATCTGTTCAGTAACATGGTGTGGAGGTTGGTTTCTGCTTGCTTTTGTTTTCTGGTGCGGTGTTTGGTACAGCCAAAGCATGTGTTTCACTTTATGGTTTGTTGTCTTTGTGTAACCAGACCTTGTCAATGCAACACCTGCTGCGGATGGTAAAACTGTGGACTTTGATCGAATCCATTAGTTGTTCTAGGTTTGGCATTCTCCAGAGCGCTGTGCAAATCCAGTTGATGCGTTGGTGCTGGCTTTTACATCTATCGCTGAGTCAACTGAAACATGGAAAATAGCAAGTAGGCAAAATGTCTACGGGGACTGATGATGTGAGAAAGCTCTTGTGTGTCGCCTGCTCTGACAGTCCATAAGCTGATCCGACCTTCTCAAGTGTGGCCATCCCTGCTGTGGCAGGGCAGCGTTGGCATGTTTCTGCTGTGGAGCAGACAGGGCGAGGATTCAACCTAGACCTGCCCTGGTGTGAAGGTGTCGAGGCAAATGGGAGGAAAATACCAAAATCCCATTATAATTTCAAGCTCCGTTAGAAATGATCAGGGAAACCAGTGTTTTCCAGCACAAGATAACATCAGGGACAGTATTTATTTGCTAGTGTTGCAAGGCTTGAAGTTTTATAGTTCTCTTTTAACTTCTTTAATTAAAAATGGATAAAACTATGCCAACTATTCTCTGCCTGGTGAATTCACACCCCTTCCATATTCTCCCTTGTAGGTCTTGTTTCCAGCGGTACAGGCAGAGACATAGCCAGGGCCTGAGTCTTGTGCCAATAAGTCAAACCTTTCTCCCTTGCCCGAGCCTGGCCCGCACGTAGGTCGGTAGGGAAGGAGCTTGTCTCCCCTGCCTGCCATACTGCTTGTCGGGACAGAAGACAACAGCTTCTGGTAGGGTTAAGCTGCTATTTACAGCACTGGGTTTCTCTAAAATTGTTGCAGACTTCTGGAACAGCCTGCTTTGGATTTCAGTAGGTGGCAAAGGCCACTCTTTAGTGTGTCTGAAGTCTGAAAGTCAGCTTTTCCCACTGCATTAGAAAAATCAGCACATGTTGTTTGATTAAGTTCTAGCAGTGACACTTTTCTCTGGTTTTGTATTGGTTTTCTGTATCTAATCCATCTCCGATGTGACAGCACACATTTTCAGAAGTCTTTTTCTTTCCAGCAGTCATTCCTTTCATTAACCTTCTTGCACCACTGATCACATATTTATTGTCCCCATGGCCTATAACTGTGAAGGTTTTACTAGAATTAATCTTCGTTTATATTTGGTCACCATTCAGTGAGTTTTACATCCTTTGAAAACTGCTGTAAAGCTATTTCTGATTGTGAAGTACAGTGGCCTTAATGCTCTTAGTATTTATCCTAACTGACAACTTGGGCCAGAACACAGGGCAGGACACTACATTACTTTGGTATAGCATTAGTTTACCTTCCGGCGTTGTCGGCCTTAATTAAGATGCAACTGGAATTTTCCAGGGGCAAGGTTGTGCTGTTTATGTGACTCTGCTTGAGCAGGGTCAGTTAAATTTTCTTTAATTGGTTTTCAATAGGCAATTTCAGTATCTTCTCCCCTCTTTTCTCCTTGGAAAGAGATCTATGCAGGTTATTCTAACAGAGACTTTAACGGAGTAGAAATCCCCATGGTTTCACACTATTTGAAAGTGAGAAGTGAAGAAAGCAAATAGAAATGTTGGCTTTCTGGAAATCACAATATCAAAGTTTTATGAGTCTTTAAACATTTGTGGAGGCAAAGGAATAAAGAATATTCTGACCAGGTATTCAGTGTGTAGAAGTGTATGTCGATCACCAGTGAATAAATAAATTGTGTGTACTGTAACATGCTTTTCTTGGCTTCTCTTTGAATTTCTCAAAAATATAAAAAACTTGATAGCTGTGGGACACAAAACACCTTAAGTAATAGCTACCCTAGAGAACTTTTAGAAGAGTCCATACTCTTTTTTTTTTTTTTTTTAATGTGAGTTACCATTTTTTCTGCTTAAATACTTTTCTGTCAGATTTAGGGCATTTAGGTCTTATTCCAAACAGGCATTTTGCCTAATGCCAAATAGGCATCGACTGCCCGACTTTAATCAATAAGCCATTAGGTGCTTAAATGCTTTTGTGAATCTGGCTGTCGTTTATGGAGGAGCCAATGCTCTTTGGAAAATAAGATTAAAAATAGTTTTTTAGGTGCCTTTAGAACTCCTTCCTGCTTTCCTTCCTCCCT